TATATATATATACATATATATATATATGTATATATATATAAATTGAATTTTGGGAAACTTTAATGGCGCTGTTGACTTTGGAAAAAGTCATCCCAGTTTACTGTTGTTGAGTTGGCATTATACAGAAATGGACAGCCACATTGGTCTAGAAATGTTAATTTTTTTTATTTTTTATTTTTTTCCATGTGTACAGGGTTAACACATTGTACTAAATATGTAAGGTCATATATATGTGGGTTTGATTACAGAAACTAATCAAGTATTCTCTAAATAATGAAAAAAAGAATAAGATAAGACTACAAGAGCAAGAAGCAATTTAAATATGTTCAGGGACCATTTTCATCTCCAGAATTAAGGATTATTTTAATGTTACATCATTGCCTTTTCTCTTTTACTTTCCTTTTTAGTTTTATTTTAGGATTCCCTATTTTTAATGTTCATACAGAGATTTCTTTAACTGAAATACTGAATAGTTTCTTTGTTGTGAAAAAGTATAATAGTACACAAGATCCTAATGAGATAATTAATAATGTGAAATAGGAAGTAAAGGGCTAAAGGGTTAGGGAAAGTGGGAAGGGTGGGGGAAACATAATAAGGGAGAGGAAAAAAAAATACAAGAAACTGAAAAAATGGAAATAAAGTGTTTGTAAATAGGGAGGAGAGGAGGGGGTGAAGGGAGGGCAGGGACAAGGGGGAAAACTGAGAATCAAGACCTATTATGTAAAGGTACAGGATCCCAATAATGAATGTAACTGTACTGTATATCTAGATTGTACCAATAAACTCAATAAAAAGAAAAAAAAGTTATTTGCTTTCCTTCATGTTATCTTAATACTTAAAAGGATTCAAAAGAGTACACAATCATTACCTAAGTTATCTGGGTTATGTACAAAAAGTTGCCCTTGCTCTCTCTTAAATATGTTTAAAATTTAATGAAATTCTCACATTTATGTGTCAAAGATTTTTGCTATTGTAAAAGCAGCAATATGTTGATATTATTCTGGTATTCCCATCGCTGGAAAGAGGACTGAAAACATCAAAATGATTCTGGAAATTATGTATCACAATTGCTGTGTCTTGGGAAACAGTTTGTATTTGTATAGTTCTTTTAAATTTATAGTGATTTAGCTCACTGAATTATGATTTGCACAAAAGCATTATTTCACTCATTTTGTAACTAAGGAAACCACCACCCAATTTTTTCTTCAGCATAAAATCAAAGTTAAGACACAAAATCAATCTTCCATAGCACAATATAAAAGGGAAAGAAAACTTATGTGAACAAAAAAAGATTTATTTGCTAAAGACTGCCAACGATGCAGGGACCTTGCTGGGAAAAGCTTCCAAAAGCATGGATCTCTTTTCTTCACCTTTACCTCAAATGAACTATCACCAGGAAAATGAATTTTTGAAGAACAGGCCTTCTATCTATGATCTGTTATTCCCAGGAGAAGGTATTTTTCTTTTGTTTTTTTTTTTGGTAGCACGGATTGAACTTGGGACCTTGCACTTGGCAAGGCAGGCAGCAGAACCACTGGGATAAATCCCCGGCCTGATCTTTCTTTGTTTAAATGATGACAAAGATTCTCTATTTTTTCCATATATTAGCATGCTTTCATTTATCTTGTTTTACCAATTTTACTTTTCTTCTTTTAACCATCTAATATATACATCTAAATCAGGGACCCATATACAGTGTCTGTTAACTTGATAGTAAAAATGATTCTTTTTGTTCACTGACTTCTAAAATTTAAAACTGCTCTCAGTTATAAATGTAGGAAACAGACATTAATAATACCTATCCCCTCTCATCAGCAATAGATATACAGACTTTATGCATCACATTACAGATGCTTTAGATATCACTTATACTCATCATTACTTTGACAGGAAAAGTCAGAAGCTACAGAGAAATGGAAAAGACAGTTCAAATACAGAGAAAAGAAGGAAACAATTCGGAATCTTTCCCTGGCTCTTGTGGCTAATGGGAAGGGGAACTTGGTTCCTCAAAAGCAACTTAAGCACTCAGGGCTGATTTTTATTATTTGACATGATAGTTATAAAACACAAATATTAACCTTTAACAATAAAAATATTTTGTTAGTGTATTTAAATATTATTGGTTTATTTTCTTAGTGTATTTTATATAATGCATGTAAAAATATTTGTAGAAGAGTTGCATAGTTTCCCATAACATCTAAGGGTCCACAGCTTCAGGATCTTTTCAAATGGAGAGCAAAAAGCATCTGTATCTATATCTATAGGTGTCTTTTCTAAAATCTGAGGCACCAACAGAAGCTACAAATCCCTCAGGAACTAATGGTGATTTAAATGTTAGATACAGTAGTTGCACAATCCTCAAAGGGGCCAGCTGTAAAGCTTAAATACAGCACATTCAAATTTAAGATGGTAATAACAGCATGACCATCAGTCATTTTGATTTTCATTTGTAGTAGTTTTCAATAAATTACTTGAGATATTCAACGTTTTTTATGAAGTACGCTTTGCGTTATTTTGTTCCGCTGTAGGCTAATGTAAGGATTCTAGGCATTTTTAAAGTGGGCAAACATAAGCTATGGTATTTGATAGGTTAAGTGTATTAAATGAATTTTTGAGTCATGATGTTTTAAATTCATGATGATTTTAGTAACTGGATTATAATACATAGGAGGGCACCTAATGTGACCTGGAATAGGTTTGTAAAAGACAGAATTTACAAAGTGTGAACCTCTAAGATATTATCCCTTTTCATCCAGTAATCTCTATTTTAATTTTACAAGCAATGATAAACCAACTACATAATTGCATAGTTGCATTTTACTGTGGAAGATATAATAGGCTCATCTTTAATATCATATCTAGTTAGTTGATAATGACTAAATATGTCCCTTCCTTAGTCCACACTTCAGCCTTAAGACAATATTAAGGGCCAGGGATTTAGCTCAGTGGTTTGGCTGCCTGCCTTATAAGCGCAAGGTCTGAGTTCAATCCCTTGGGAAAAAAAAACAAAACAACCAAGCAAGCAAGCAAAAAGATAATACTTAAAACAACAATGCTTAGTTTAATTTTTTTGATAAGGGAATGTAAGACTCAACATCTGTGTTTTTAATTTTTTTTTTGGTACTGGGGATCGAACTTGGGACCTTGCACTTGCAAGGCAGGCGGCCAAACCACTGAGGTAAACCCCTGGCACTGTATATTTTTCTATATGCATAATATATTTTAATTTAATATATTTGGTTATAAAATGGTACAATATAGGAAAGACATCAAAAACAGTGAGTCTTGAAAGGGAAAAAGAAAATAAAATTATAGTAATTAATAGACTTTTCAGAGTCATGTCCTTCTTTTTTCTGTTACTGGAGGAACTTAAATAACTTTAACAGTCCTTAATTTCTTATTTAAATTAAAATAAAAAGTAACTTAAAAAGCTCAAAATGTTTTTTCTTTTACTAACTTGTTAGTAAACTGCAATCAAAATATATATTTAAGTTAAATGATTATATTTATGGGCTGGAGATTTAGCTCAGTGGTGCCACTGCTGCCTTGCAAGGGCAAGGTCCTGAGTTTGATCCCTGGTACCAAAAAAAGATGATATTTACTATTAGTGTTATTTTGAGGAATCTGAAACTTAGGCATTACAAAATTGGAATAGAAGTGGGTAACTTATATGAGGAAGCCCACTAAACATCCTATTCTATAAATGTACTTCATGGCTCCACCTTTTCATGGGATACTATACTCTATGGTAGCCCCCTTTTCAGTAGCTACTGATAATTATGATTAAGTACGTCATTCATATTCAGTGCCTATTCTTCCTTTAATATACAGTTAATACTCACTTCCATATTTTTCCTTGAATGAATGTTTAATCATTAATAAGAGGAGTTTAAATCAAATTAGCTCCACAGTGAAATCATTTTTCTACATTCCAGATCACTGGAAATACCTTTACTGGAAGATGAACTTACCTCAAGTTGAACCCTTTGTTCTAAATTCTTATAAGATCTCTGTAATAATTCCCGGGTCCCAAGGACTCCATACCACATCAAGTTTTTAGTTCGGCTCCTAAAGAGAAATATTAATAGAGAATCTCAGGAAATTTTATTTATTTTCTTTTAAAGGCAGAGCAAACAAAAGAGACAATAAATTAAATTAAGTAAAACCGCCTCATGTAATCATATTATTACTTTCAAAATTACCTGCATTTTTCAGGGTGCTCTTCTCTCTTATTATTAAATTCTAATGAAATTTTTGCATCTAATCCAATCCCAAAGTAATTGTTCATAACGCATTTTTCTGAATATCCATCTCTAAGATAAGGAAAAGTACATTAATTCAATTTCAGGTTCATTACAACATTGAAATTTGTGCACGAAATGGCACTTAAAATGATTGTTCCTATTAGGCTATTATTTCTTATAGACTGCAAAGTTTATCAGGAACCAGCGTCTACATCTATGTCATGTGCACACCCTCAGTACTTCAGGGGTAGTGAGGAAGCAAAGCAGACACGGATCCACGTTTGGTTTTCTCTTCCATGTAGCCTTCTATCTCGAATGTAAGTCTCTTACTCCACAGACAAATGATGACTATGGAGGGCCTTGTACTCAAATGCTGACACCCTCTCTTAATTATTAGAAAATTTCCAGTAATTACTGAGCAAACACCTGGTAGATTCAATTCATTCCTTTAAGTATTTTTAAAAGTTTAAATCATAATACCGTCTTTCAGGAGTATCATTACAGAAATAAGATACAAGAAAAGCAAAATTAAAATGGAAGTAAAAGAAAAGAAAAGTGTCAAAAATGTATTTAGGAATTGTAAGAAGGGAAAAGATCAATGTGGCCCAGAAGCTTCCTGAAATCAGTAACCTTAGATGCTGGGTATGGAAAGATAGCGGATTCGATAAGACTGAGAAGAAAGGAATTGAGGACAATGATATAAATACAGGTGGGGAGGCACCATTAAGTCTCCAGGGAAAAGTGGGCAGAATCCGTGCTTTCCTTTGCCCTACAGAGAAAAGGATGGAAAGGCACATGCCTCAGAGACAGATCATAAAGACCACAGAATTTCAAAGGTCTTAACGTGCCCATCGTTATGAACTTCATAATTTTTCAATTACTGTTTTATGTACATGGAGCCATATACATTGCAATACATTAAGAATGTTACAATTCATATAAATCAGAAATAAGCATAGCCAAAACAAAAACATTGGAAAAGCATTCTCTTACAATGAATCTAGGTCTGGGTCAATAAACGGAGTTGCACCAAAAGGATCAATATTTGCTAGTAACATTTTGTTGATAATAGAACTCCCAGCAATCGAGGCAGCTAATCCTGCTCTTAAACCTAGACAAAAAAAATAAATACATACAGGATCAGAAATGGTAAAGAAAAAGCAGAGAAAGAACCAGACCATTCAGGCCTCACCTCAAACATCATCATGCTCTCAAAGTAAGTTTTTTAGTGTATACTCATCTCATTAATCAAAACTAAGAAGTATAATAGTTACGAATACAAAGTTTTTGATTCTTCTAAATATGTATCGAAATACTGTCCTAAATTAAGAAGATGAAGCCTAAAGGAGTCTCTATGTGACATTTTCTCATTTACCTTTCTATAACTTCAGCAAACATATATTACTTTGCTGCAAATAATGTAAGAATATCTGTAAAGAATCTATAATAAAGGCTGAATTAACCAAAATATCATGGAAGTAGTACTTTCATACTCTCAAAGGATAACTAGCAACACTGTTTAAATTTTTAAATGTTAACAGATGCATTAAGGAAAAAGCTCAGTGTTATTGCTGAGAATAAGTAGTAAAACAAAATGAAGTTGCTACTTTTTAAATTGTGCAGATGAAATGAGATTATATAAGTGGTCTATTGCAATTACACAAATGGTAACTCATAGTATTTGGACTTGCACAATTATTTTAATTTCAAATGTGAATAGTGGAGTCATCTAAAGTCCTCATAACCAACTGGTCACTCAGTCCCATCAATTCTGCCTCCCTAGGAAGCCGTCCTTTTCATCTCTGTCATCTGCTCAGATCTTCATAGAGTGCAGCAGCCTCTGTGCACCCTAACTCATGTCCTCTCCTTTCTTTGTGAAGTTTAATGATTCTCCTCCTCAGCCAGGTGTGTGGTGCATGACTGTAATTCCAGCACTCTGGAAGGCTGAGGGGAGATTCAAGCCCAGCATGGGCAACTTAGGGCATTAATGTCTCAAAATTAAAAGAAAAAAAAAGAAAAGAAAAAGAAAAAGGATGGAGATGTACTCAGTGTAAAAAGACATTGGTTTCAATCTTCAGAGCCCCAGAGGCAAAAAAAAAAAAAAAAAAAGAATTACATATATATATATATATTTAGTTATATATATGAATTCTACAATGGGTAGATCAAGTGTTCTAAAGTGTTTCTTTCAGGTATCCTATTTCCTTATTGATCATTGGTCTAGTTCTGTCCACTAGTGAAAGTGAGTTAATAAAGTCTGTTATCAGTGAATTGTGATTAATCTTTTTGTTTTTGTATTTGTTTTTTTTTGAGACAGGGTCTCACTGTATAGTTGAGACTGATCTGGAACTCAATATGTAGCCCAGGCTGGTCTCGAACTCACAACGATCCTCCTGCCTCAGCCTCCCAAGTGCTGGGATTATAGGCGTGCACCACCACAACCGGCGTTTTTCATCTTTAAAAAGAATTTGTATGAGACATTGACTACAGTGTTTATCCTGGATACCAACCTGCTCTGAATGAAACAGAAAGATTTTTGCAAATGAAAACAACTGATACTTAAGGAGGACTATGAGGTACCAACATTTTCCTCCATCTCATGCTTACAGTCCTTTAGTTTCTACTAATGATAGTCTAATGTAAGGAAGATCTGTTTTATCAGTACTACAATAATTCAAAAATGAAGCAATATCACTATGTTAAAAAATGTCTATAAAGAGACTGTTGGCTTAAAAAAAGCTGTGGAGATAATTGTACTTAGAGGTCACAAACTGGAAGAGAAAATTTACTGTGGGTATTAAACGAGAGATTCCTGGGCTACACCCCAAAAATAATGCATTATAATTTCTCAGGGGGTGTCAAGAAATATGTTTTAATGATTTCTAGTAAACTGTTACCCACAGAAGAATCTACTACTGAATCCCTACTGATAAGAGTGGCAAGAACATTCTCTTAGTAATATTTACCTTTCAGAAATGAACATATTTCAGAGCTCATGGAAATGAGTACTTACACATTATCACAGAAATACTTAACAACACACCATATTTCAGAATCTGTACTACCTGGGCAAATTATTCTAGTATTGAGTACAGGGAGATTTTCTTTGGTGGCTGTCACAGCTGGACCAGGGAGAGAATCAGTTTGGGAATGGCCACGACTTGCCCAAGCATCTGGAGAATGAGGTGCAGCTTTAACTGTTGACAAGAAGCCCAGATTTAAAAAAACAAAATGGTAAAGGATAAATTATTAATAAGTGCCTGAAAGTTCAAGACCTGTTTTGATCAAATGAAACTGAAACTATCAATTGCATCTACCAATTCTTTTACCATTTTATTTTCATTTTCTTGAGACATATAGAAGGTATCTGCCGAAGTAGATGTCTTGACTTCTGATCTCAAGTAGATGGATATTAGTAAAAAATACTAATTTAATTATTAACAGAAATAATTAAAGGTCAATAATACTCAGAATTTTAATGTGATCAACCCACATTTAAAAATAAATAGAGGGGCCACGGATTTAGCTCAGTGCTTCCACCGCCCACCTCACAAACGCAAGGACCCAAGTTCAATCCCCGGCACAAAATATAAAAAAATAAAAGTTTTTAAAAAATAAATAGAGGGTGGGAGATTTATCTCAGTGGTTCTACTGCCTGCCTCACAAGCGCAAGGTCCCGAGTTGGAACCCCAGTACCAAAAGAAAAAAGAAAAAAAAAAGATAGAAAATGTGAAGCCTGATGATTTTTCAAAATAATATATACTAAAAACAAGACTTTTCTCAGAAACATTGGGTGAATGATCATATTTAATTTATATAATTCTCAGAGCTAACATGTGAAGCATGAATTAACAGTCTTCTAAAAATGGAAGGAAAACAGTATTTACTTTCAATGAAACCAATGTACTTTTCGTGCATCTCTCAATTACTTATTCAAAATAACAAGTTGCCCAAAACAGTTACTTTAAAAGAAAATAACAGGATGGAATACTTAATTCTATCTAAACTGAGGTAATTTTATAAACAGTAACTTTAACTAATTTAGGGGTAATTAGTGGGTATTTTTTAAATTCTTAAATTAAATTTAAAAGTACTCTAAAATTTAATCATCATCACGCTCCCTTTGACTAATTACAAATTAATTATATTAATCATACACTATTTTCTCTGTTCAAAGCAGTCCAGTTGCATTAAAGAGAAGTAACAGAAAGTCACTCTTTTTTTTGGCAGATGTGACTTCTGTGGCTAATTTCTAATAAAAGCAGTATCTTGATGTTCATCTTTGATAAAAAGCAGAGTACACTAATAACTAAGATTGATCTTCCATTGCAGGTAATTAAACTGAGTTTCAGCTGGGTGTGGTGGTACATACCTAAAATCCCAGCTACTGGGAGGCAGAGTCAGGAGTATCACAAATTCAGGGTCAGTTTATTAAGACCTTGCCGCAAAATAAAAAATAAAAAGAGCTGGGTTGTAGTTCAGGGATAGACTGCTTGGTAAGGCCCTGGGGGTTCAATCCCCTGAACTGCAATAATCACTGATGAAAATATAAAATTAAATTAAAAAAATGAGTTTCATGGTTCTTCTTAAATAAATCAACTCATTAATCATTAATATACTGTATTTCTTGCTTCTCATATTAATTATTACATAATTAAATGATACAATGAATGTGCCTCAATAAGAATAATGACATTGAATACCAAAAAACTTGTTATTCCTACTGGTTGATTTTTTATCCCAATATTGAGTACTAGCCAAAATTAAAGTAATAGGGATGAATGTAAACGACTATAATGAGTCTGAAAAAAAAAGCAGCAGTCTTTGCAATATCAAAATGTGCAGAATGAGTATTGCATGAGTGTCAGTGTGCTATGTTACCTTACAGAATAATATCTGGAGAAATTTGTTGTAACTGGGCATCATACTTTAAGATAAATATTGACTAAGTAGATTCAAACAAACAAACAAAAAATAAACCCAGAAAAGTCTGAAATCATTAAGTTAAAGACTGGTAAATGAGATGAGGACAGATCATGTGGAAAAGGAGACAGATGTGGCAAGGGAAGATACTGCCAGAAAAGCTCCTGTTAATCTCATCTAAGGGCTGCTCCAGGGAAGAAGAATAAACTATGGCTTCAGAAGCCAGATTCTTGTTGAATACAGTGAAATACTGTATGTGTTGCTTCTTAAACCAACCGTGAAACACTGTACGAACTCCATTAGTTGCTACTGTCAACATTATAATACACAAAACTTAATGATGCCTGTAATTTAAAGTTGCTATTTAGGAGAAAAAAAAAAAAAGTAAGCTCAAGATAAAGAATAATTTTCTAACAATTACTGCAAACCATACGAGTGGAATGTATTGAAAATGAGTGGTTCAAAGACTCAAGTGTCATCTGTAAAAGTACTAGAATATGTCTATCACGAGTTGGCTGATGAACCTATGAGATATGCAAAATCTAATTTCAAAGTCTAAGAGTTTTGTGTATAATTAAGGAATAGTCTTTCAAAGTCAATGTATTTAGCAGCACCAATTAATAATACTAGAAATAGTAATAATAATGATGGTAAACACATACAGCATTATTTACCAGATGCTTTTCTGGGCACCTTACATAGACTTACTTGACTTTTACTAACCCCACTGAAATTGGGATATTATTATTTTTGTTTTCAGAAGAAAAAAAAAAATCACAGGAAGATTAAGTAATCTGCTCACGTTTACATATAGTGAAGGTAAAAGCAGAAATACAATGAATTCTTGAATGCGAACAATTCTGATATAATTATGTTGAGTTTTCACAAGTAACTTTCATATTATCACCCTATCTTCATTTGTATTTTAACTTCTGCTTTGTCCCAATAAATTAGAAACTTCTTGTTTATGTAATACAAAATACTAAAAGTATACATTCATCTTCAATTAAAAGTTGTAGGATAGACATATAGTTAATAGTCGAATCAATTTTACATTTTCTGATAAAAATAATTTTGGTAAAGAAAATGGTTGTAATTGTGATTTAAAGCTTAACTTAGAGATAAGGATCATTAGCCTAGAAGTTGGATCAGTGAAACGTAAGGGGGCTCCTGAATAGTTTAAAGGTCAAATTGTAGATGTGTGGGATTTGTAGCTTCCTTACACTTCTCAAAAGGAATCTGAAGTCTAAAATAGCTTAAAATTGGATGATATATGTGCTTCTTCCCTCTTTCTTTAGGAAAACTAAGATATTTAATCATTTCTCTTATAAATCTTAGTTTATTACTATATCTCTAGAATACACTATAAGAGAGGGATGTGAGAGTGCCTGACAAAGTCTAAATAAAGTGTTACTTTCATTATTTTAGAATTCATGAGTATCTAAACTTTAACTTCCAAACAGCCTTTTCAAAAATAAAAATATGGTTTAATTCAAAATGGCTAATCTTTTGAAAACTGAAAGCAAAATTACATTTTATTCAATTCTAAAATAGTTACCATAGTTTTCTTACCAGTTAGTGATTCTCTTGAATCTTCTTTAGATTCTTCTTTAGATTCATCTGTTTCTGTACTATCGTAATCAGTACAAATTACTGTCTGCTCATCCATAGCTTTAATAGAAAAATATATTTGGATAAGTGAAACTAAAACACATCCATTTTACATTAAAAAGATTTACATTAAAAAGTAAACACTATAATAAACTTGAATGTCACGTCTGGAAGTACCAGAGATTATAAAGTTGAATGTATGTATGTGTATGTATCAGATAAAATT